GGCGGTTTTTTGTTGATCAACTCTTGGATCTCTCCCTTGAAGTCCCTCATGAAGGTCATGAGTTCGTTCCTTGTGATGGGAGCAGACCCATCAGTCGGCTGTTGCCGAGCAAGCGATGCGCCTGCTGGCTCGCTTCCTGTTTGAGGATACTCCCGTTCCCTCATTTCGGTATGACGGGTACGTCGGGCCCTTAGGGTCCCGTCTGGAGCTGTATGAGTTTCAACTTCAAATTCACTTTCGGTATCATGGTCCGACTGAACTTGAGGGTCGTCTAGGGGACGCCTCTCTTCTGGAGTCGGTACAGACTTGGATGCCATCTCTAAAGTACTCTCCCCACAGACGGCGCCAAATGTTTCGGGGTTTTCTGATGTCCTGCGGGAGAGTTACAATTCCGAGACTGGAACCGGACGCCTGTACCTGCAAAATAACGGAGACTCCTGAGAGCTCCGCCTCCAACGGTCAAGTTAGTACCCGATTAAGGAGTAATCAATACAGAAATTAAAGTAATGAGATCTCTCTAGGTGAGAGTGCTTAGTGTTGGTAATCTGCGTTGTTAGCGAGATTAACCGGTTGTTAATAACTCTGTTCTTCTCTTCTTGATCTCTTGATTATTCGATTCCCTGATTAATGAGGATTAATCGAGTATTTATAGCCTTGAGAAGCGTGCAACTCTCTAGGTTTAAGGTAAACCTAGGGCTGATCGGGCCTCTAGACTGAATTGGGCCTTGATGGCCGGTTGTCCCATTTGGCATGGGTGGACACGTGGCGTGTCTAAAGTGGTCCGTAGAGGACGTATCTGTGATTGACACGTGGCAAGCTCCTGTTGGCCTTCGTGAAGGACACGTGGCGGAACCTGGTTGGTCCACTTGTCAGACGGTGATTGGTGGATAAAAATCCCCTAATCAGGTAGCTTCAAAGATTATTATAATTTTAAGATTTTATGCATAAAGTAAATTTTCAGATTTTTATGAAACTCTAAACTTGCAACAATTTCATGAATAAGTCTATATTATAAGGTTTTTATGTAGGAAACTTAAAAAAATATATATAAGCTTTTAATTTTAGTAAAAGGGATGGTTTTAAAGTGTTGTTTGATTGGATTTTGAAGGTTTTAAAGTAAGTTAGTATTGCTGTAAATTTAATTGTTTGGGTATTGATTGAATTATTGTTGTTTGGTTTAGGAGAGGATTTCGTAGAAGGCGATTTTTAGTTCCTAAAGTGGCCAACCAATTCGTTTACTCAAGGTACGTATAAGGATACGAAAATCTTGACTTTAGGATCATGTTTAAGGACTTGGAAAAATTTAGGATCATGTTAGGAAACTTGTGGATTGGTTGAAATTGTATGGTAGCAAGTTTGATTGGTGATTAATGTGATGATTAGTTTTGATTTATGTATGAGGAATGCATATTAATTTATCTTGTAAGTATTATTTATGTATTAACTTGCAAGATGAGCAAAGAGGAAAGGTACGTGAATATGTGGAATGAATTATTTTATTACTCGTTTATGATTATTGAAATGGAATGAGAAGGGAAAATTAAAGTCTTATAAGACGAGGTCAAGGATTTTAGGTGCCTTATGCACTTAAGGTATTTATACACCGAGGTAGTTAAAGGATTCAATAATAAATATTGTTTGTCACTATTGAATCAAGAATTGAATTGAAAAATTGAATTGCTTGAATGTTTAATATTTGATTGGTTGTATTGTTTTGCATTTGAGTCATCACCAAGTTTAAACTGGTAAATCACGTAAAGTGCGAGAAGGATGAGCAATAAAACTCTGGATTTGTGCACATCTAGAGTAATGACAAAAAGGGGTTGGGGTACACGGGGTATTAGCCGTGCACTTTTCTAGAGGTCGTCTGATCTACAAGTCTCTTGTTTTCAAATACTTTTTAAAACTAAAAGTTAGATGAGATCTCATACTAGCTATGGCCACGAAGTCGCGCCCGTCTGCCATTGGATGTTTATTGATGTTTTCGAAAGTAGACATGGGTTTTTTCTTTTATTGATGTTCCAAATTGGAGCATGGGGAGACAACCTTGTCGATTGCTTAATCCAATAAATAAAATGAAATGAAATAATCAGTATTAATTAGGGAAGTCTTACTAACGTTAACAATTGAGTTATGTGTTTGAGTCAATAATTAAATTGTTGTGTATTGTTTATAATTAGTAGCATGCTAGGAATTCTTTATTATTCGTAGTTTGTATGTACTCAGCGTTGCTAATTGCGTGCTTTTGTGTGTCTTTTTCTTAGTCATGGCCTTCGCCCTTCAATGACCCTATAATGATCCAATCTTTACACTTAATATTGGGTAGCAGACTTATCACAGGTGTTTACATAGTTTGAACTTGCATCAAGGTGGTAGGATTTTGAGTGGAGAGTTGGTTATTGTTCGCAGTTTATTTCATTTCATAAGCCTGAATTTATTTAAACTCTGGTTTGATTTATTTACTACTTTTGTTAGGTTTTGAATAAGGGCCTTAATGGTTCCAACTTGTAAGACTTAATTTGGTTGTGTTCGTTGGTTTTGAAACTTATTTAAAACTGAGTTAGTTTTTTCGCTGCTGAATTCTGAATTAGCCTTAACGTTTGAACACGTGGCGATAGCACGTTAGTAATTCCTTAAATTTTATTAAAGGTATTTACAGGTTTAAAGAGAGAATTATTGGGGTGTTACAAATACAACTAACTGTGGTCCAAATATTAGAACAATTCACTTCAAATCCACACAACCATCATCCAACGAATTGCTCCAATGACCGTATCTTTAAATCATCACATTTGTAAAACCTTTACGGAATTATAATTCGTGATGAGATGCACATCATTCAATAAACAATATTTTTACTAACCATCATTCAACAATTCAATTTGTATGGTTACATATTACATTACTAACAGGGATTTCGATATTTCAATGCAGAAAATAAACAATTCAACTACATAATCACTCACTCTTAACAAAATTACCAGTACATGCAATTACTAGTACATGATATTAACAACGACCAATTAACTTATCAAAATTGATCATGGAAATAGTGTTCAATAATTCGAATTACCTAAGCACAATCATCATGAAATATTGAGAACAAATTTTAATTCTAATTTCAATTAAACTATACAATACCACATACCATAACCAATAAACTTACCAATTCATCCGTGCCTCCCAAATCTTCATATACGCTTATGTCGTCCGAAGACCTCTTTCTCTTACCAACACAGATCTCAATCATGACTCACAACCTAGAAACGACTTCTACAACTCACCCTCCACAACCAATATATGTCTATCGTCACCGTTCCTGCCCCCGCTAATAACAAAATTGTATGGACTTCACAAATAACAGTGTCAATCATATGGGGGGATTAAAGAGTTATGGTTGTTTGTTTTCTAGCGATATGGCAACTTCATATTCTCAATCAATTTCTAACATTGTAAATAATGCAATCAAACCCTAACGGCCTAATAATTTGCCGTTATGAAGGGATAACACTGTTTATTACCATTTCCTATCTTCGTTTATCTAGTCACTATGTAAAGTCCACATCATATGGTGATGTATCCTGAATATATATAGGAAAAGACGTAGGTACCTCGTTGATATGTTTTTCAAGTAAATCAAATTGATCAACTTGAATTTGCCATACAAAAATGATTCCTTATATTGTAAATTTTTTAAAACAAAATAATAAAACTTGTAAAGAAATAAGGGGTATCAGCACGTCCAATAGGTGTAAAGGAAATGTATTTATCTCGCACTTAGGTTGTTTTGTTTTAAAATTCTTTTTCTGGATGGAAATGATTTGTCCAATTACAATTTCGGCAACAAATTCAACCAAATTCCAACAACAAATTCAACCACATTCCGGAACCAAATTGAACCTAATTCTGACAACAAATTCAGCGAAATACGTACAACTTCAACAATATTATAATTTTAACAAGCTTATAACTTATTTTTATCAAAAATTATAAACATCAAAATTAATCTTATTAATTTTAAATACCGGCAAAGGGTCACCACGCGCCGCTAGACAAACACCAGCAACGTTGAAGATGGGACAACACCATAATGGAAAACCTCAGTCTTCAAATAAGAAATACTAAAATCTTATTCATAGATAAGAAATACAGAAATCTTGGCCTTCAATTATATTTGCTCTCTATCAAGTGGAGAGAGAAAATAAAAATGAGGGGAAAAAAAAATAAGTGGCTATATTTTTAGGGATCATATACTAATTGAATTAGGTGGTTGAAGGGTTAGGGTAAAATGCAAATTTAAAATTTCGAATTTTCAAAAATAAGGTTTGAAATTTAAATGAAAAAAATGCTAGCCCACTTCAAAATAAAATTCCCTTTTAACCAATTCCTTGTACACCAAGTGTACCCCTAGCATCTTTTCGGACATAACTCTCTTCATCCCGTTTGACTAAGGATTTTATTTAGTCCACATTGTTTTTACCCGAAACACGATGTATTTATTATTTCTCTCTCATACTAACCTCACCTATACTAATTTTTTTATTGTTTTTTCCCTCCCCCCACTAATTATACTTTATATTATTAAAATTACCCTATGATCCTACCCTATAAATTTCCTAAAATGTTGTGCAACGCCAACTATTGCGACTATTACGAAATGGAGGGAGTAACTAGTTAACCATTTGTCCATTGTTACATTAAGAGATCTGTCTTTTTCTCCTATCGTTGATATAAATCTGAAACTTTTTGCACGATTCTAAATACTTACGTTATTTTTCGTAAATGGTGTGAAAACTCTTTGAGTATTATACAGCCTGGTGAGCTGAGATCAGGTTAGATCTATTTCAAATTTGTCATACTAAATTATTATGTTTATATAAATTGAAATTTAAATTGCCTCTTATTTTAGTCGATTTCAGGTCGAGTTGGTCGGGTCTGTTTTTGATACCTCTGACGTGGCAAGTCGGTAATGTCAAAAATACAGACTACTTTGTATAGGCCTAAACCTCAGCTTGCCTAGTTCGAAAACCCCTCCTTGCTTGTTGCTTTGGCTGCCTCTCTTTCTCTCTCGTCATTTCCTCTTTCTTCAGTGAGATATCAAAAATGGCGAAAGGCGACGACGCAAGAATTAAGAAGAAGAATAAAGCCAATCGTAAGAAACTTGCTAAAGATCCTTCTGCCGTCTCTTCTCGCGTTGCTGCTCTTATTGCCGCCAAGAAGCGTCGCCAATCCGGCAAACGCCGCAACTGCCAGGTTTACTGCTTTTCTTTATTCTATTTCTTTTATTTTTCGTTTATTTGCCGTTCTTAAGAAGTTCTTTTTATTGGGTGTTTATAGTTTTATTTTGTTATTTTGTGAATTTACATCTTTTAGTATAAGTCTGGAATTGTTAATTTGATTAATTTTGTAATGTTATGTTTATAGTTTAATTTTGTAATGTTGTGAGTTTGCATCTTTTAGCACAAGTTTTAAATAATTAATGGTCAAAATTAAATATCATTTGTTATTATGAAACGTCTGTAGTATTGCAGTGCTCAATTAACTGGTTTTGTGCTGATTGCAGTCTGCAAGTTTACTCTGTGAATGAGAAAATCACCATGTTTTTGAGGTTCAGTAGATTATACTTCGTATGGTAATTGCTAATAATTATAAAAGAACAATTAAAACCTGATGGGGTTTGGAGAAATTCTGGTTTCACCTTTTCGTGTAGTTAGCATGAAGGAAGAAAATCATAGGAAAGAGTGAATTCTTAGTTTCAATTTTGGGTTTAAGAGGACTAGTTGAATTGGAAAAGACATATTTTGGTGGAATGGCTTACAAGAAAGAAATGGTGAAACTCTATGAATTTAATTAAGCTTGAAATTTGTCCATCCTAATGCCATCGAATTGGGAGTACATTAAATTTGTCATTCATTTCGCTTTTTTGTGGATCTGTTATGGTGAGTCTATTATTGTGAAATTGGCTTCATATCCCACGTTGGTTCTTGTCTTGTTTCTTGGAGTTGAAATTTGGGGGTTTGGAATAGGGCCAAGTGAATGACACTTCAAGGACAGGGAAAATGCAAAAAAGTTGACGACCATTGTTTAGATATAAATTCATCATTTTTATATCAATCTGCAAATGAAAGAGCTAACCAATATTTACTCAAGTCTTAGAAAAGCCACAATATTCTTTGTTTCCTTTGTTTCTTATGCAATCCTATCCAACTACTATGATGCACATGGATATTTGCTTCCAAGAAGTTGACATTGTAGACATTACACTGAAGAAGGCATTGTTCTAAATCACTATTCCAAGTCCTGGTAGCTTGAAGCTATTGAATAACTTTATGGTAGGAATGTTTTTTGTGTCAGCACTTGAGTCATCATTGTTGGTATGATTTTGCTTATCTAATTTATAAAATCACTTATAATATACATTGTAAAGTAGAGTAGGTAGAATAAACAAAGTAAGTTGGGAAAGTAGATGTCGTTGATAGTAGAGTAGACATCTTAATGACATGGCAACATTGCAAAGTTTTGGCTAGAAGGAACTTCTCCGTATAAGCAGATTGTCAATGGCATCCAATTAGGAAAATTGTTGACAAAATATATAATACTAAAGAGACCAATTTATTGTAAAACAATAAAATTTGCTGTTTATGTTGCTGTGTTGTCATCTATGTAGAAAAATATAAGATTGTCTATTTTGGGCTGCCATAAACGACTATGCCTTCTTAAATTTAATTTCCATCATTCGTAATTTAAAAGAAATTACCTATGAATCACTAGCTTCTAAAGTAGTTTGTTGGCACAATGCTTAGAAAATCAAATCCTTTTTCTTCTACCTCTTCTTATTCTTTTCTAACTTGTACTGTTTAGTCATTGCTCCCTCCTTAAGAGGAGTGTCTGACCTTTTAATTTTTCTTGTATTTTTTTTTATTGTTTTCATTTTAGATTATTATACCAAAGCGTTACTGATTCTCTGTACACCATTCTTTTGATGAATGTATGTAATGTTTGGATAGCCTGCTCATTTTACATCTTTATTGTTGATTTTTAATCTTCTGCTTTATAGGGCATGTGCTATAGTCTTCCCTCACCTGAGGATCCTTTCAACGAGAGACATGGAAAAGAAAATATTAGCACCAGAAAAAACAAACGGCTGCTTCCAGAAGTGAAAAACAAGGAAGCCTTAAAGAAAGAAGCCAAAAAACAACAGAAAGAAATGCTTTGTGGTGATCAAGTGAACTTAAAAAATCAAAAGGAAAAGAAAGCAAAGCTAGGAGATGGAGACTTCAATGATTGTACTTTAGGAAATTCTGGCTGTCCGTCTAAGTTTCTTTGCTCTTGCTTAAACTCTATACGGGATTCTTTGCTTGGTGATGGCGTGCTGAATAAGGAACAGGACAAACCTTTGTTTGTTGATTCATGGGGAGTTGAATTTTGGAAGTCTTATTCCATAGGTGCCGATATATTAGAAAACAGTGGAACTAGTCCTTCTGTGCAGCAGATGGCCTGGATAGCCTCCACTGCAGCTGACAGCATTTCACAGAAGGAGAAGGATGGGGCATCCTTCTCCAACCCGTTCCTGTTATATCTTGTACCATCACAAGAGAAAGCGAGTAAGGTTAGTTGGCATAAATTCTTAAAATTTAAATATGGATTTTGCAGTTAAGTCTGTTTTACGTTCTCATAAATTTTGCATATGTATCTATGATTCCCCCCCCCCCCCCCGTATTATTAAGTGTACCCTGTTCAATACTATAGCACCACTTAGATACCTCTTGTTGTTTTCGTTTTCTCACCAAACATGCTCTCTAATTATTATTTATCTATTTATTTTTTCCTTGGAATTATTCTTTTACTATGAATCAATACGATAATGCTAACATCTAGTGTTAGAAATTGATGTGATAATTCCTGTCATGAATGAGGACTAATGTTTAATTATTACAGCGATGTTTATATTACAGCGATTGTAACATATTAACATATCATGAATATGCATCCTTGCAATTTTGTAGTATGCTTTAAGTTTTAATATGGATGTAGATTTGAATTCTCAAGGATGCATTCTGTAAGGATTATGTCTTTAGTGATCTACAGCCTTGTTTTTACTCATATATACAAATAGTGATGATGTCTTTGTTGGCTATAGTACTGGTATTGTCTATGTGGTGAAACACATGCATATATGTATGCTAAGGGACACATCAACACTTGATTAGTTGGTTTTCATAAGACTCCGTCCTGGTATTTGATCTGGGTGGATATAAGGTGAAGGCAGTCCCTTTTTAGCATTTAAATGGGTGAGCATTGATCAAAACAGAAAAAAAATAGTGTCAGGAATGGATTAATTAGCTATGTTCCTACTCTTATGGGATCAATAGCTTCTAAGTCGGAATACTTTAGGATGAAATCTAGGTGTCATAAGGTGAAAGTGATGCTTGGCAGTTAGCAATGACTGAAGAGGATGAGTTTCTCATAATTATAATTGGGTTAAATAGAGAGTTTTCAATTTATGTGATCTCAACTTTGAAGGGCATATCTCAAACTCTACTCATCCTTTCATGAAGTTCCTATATGCAAATCTTAGCAGTCCCATCTTCATGTTTTGATAAAGCATGTATAGTAATATGGCCATTTGAAATTGATCTGTCTTGTGGCAGCTACCAATTTATGTCTCATAAGCTAGCACTGTAATTTTAAAAGTGTACCTTAGGGGTGTCCAGAGCTCTAGGTTTCTTTGGATGGAGGTAATGACGTTAATTTTAAAATCCATCCCTATGATATGTATTTATTTAGACCTGTTATCTTACCGATTGAAGTAGAAGAAACTCTCTCTCTCTCTCTCTCTCTCTCTCTCTCTCTCTCTCTCTCTCTCTATATATATATATATATATATATATATATATATATATATATATATATATATATATTAAAACTCAATGGTAAGACATGAACCCGCCATGTGTCATCATTATTGGGCAGATGATGTGGTGCCGTATCATACGATTACTATATTTATTAAACAAAAATGATGAAATTGTCAGCATTTATGTTCGAACCCATGACCTCATACTCATTATACAATAACTTCAACCACTGCTCCAATGGCACATCTTATGTTTAGAATGTTTTGTTAAAAAGAATTAATCATATTCATAAACTTGAAGATTTAATGTTTAAATTTTATACATGTATATTTAACAACAATCTGTAATAACAAAAAATAATCTAATTTCTTTTATTTGCTCATACATAAAATTAAACATATAACTATTTTATATATGTAACCCATAATATGTATTGAAATTATTAAGCTAATGCTATATTTTTTTTTTTTCTATTCTAATGGCACGTCTTACATCTATAAAGTTTTGTTAAAAAGAGATAATCATGTCCATAAAATTGAAGATTTAATGTTTAATTTTATACATTTATATTTAACAACAATCTATAATAACAAAAAATAATCTCATTTCTTTTATTTGCTCATGCATAAAACCTATAGCTATTGTTGTTTTAATTATGTAACTAAAATGTGTATTGAACTTTTTAAGATAAAGTTTAGTGTTTTTTTTTTTTTTTTTTTTTTTTTTTTTTTTTTTTTTCTCTATAACAATTGAAGAACGAAGTAAACTAATAATTTTAGGATATTATATTGAATAATATATTTGAATTTCAATAATTATTGGAAAAATATATATTTTAAATAATACGAGTACTGAAGTAAATGTAACTAATTTAATCTATATTTACATTTTATCACATAATTTTTATCATAAAAGCTCATTTTCAATATACATATAATGACTCGGGGCATTGCCTGAGCAAAAAACTAGTTTTCAATCTAAAACCGACATTATGATATTTTTGCAGGAAATATGATGTAAATACTCAATTTAGTTTTGCTTTGAGTTTGCAAATGTGTGTGCATCTGCCTCATGCCTCAGATTTTAGGACCGTTTGCACCTCTATAGGCCTTGTGCTTTTAAGAGAACTAAGATTTATTTGGTCATGTTAGGTGATTTGTAGATTAAGACTTCAGTGCATCAGCATACACCACCAGCCAATACAGGCAGCCCATGTATATGACACATCTGAGTATCATGGCCGTGTTTTAGCACGCACTGGATTACATTTCAGTGCTCAAGCTTGGGAAAGTTGATTTAATCACTCTTGATCTAGTCTTTTGGTTAATTTTTTTTGATGGTAAGGCTTAGTGTTACCCGCTCCTCATGAGCCAATCCCATCACTAGCAGAGTTGGTTGGCCATCTAGAATTGCTGGCTGTATGGGGTGCGAATAGCTGAAAATGTGATTTACTTGATCAAATTGACTATCTGACATACAGTAGATAATGTAATTGTCTCATATGAACTATCGATCTATTCGAAGATGCTTCAATTATCAAATTTCAGATCTAGGATTTCAGTTAAAAACCGTACTTTGGAAGCCACATGAGATATAAGCAACTAAGACAATAGGGTTTTTGTTCACAAGCATAGTTTTCCACCTTCCCTCTTTCGGATTCACTCTTTTTTCAATTTTTGGGTACTTGTAATCATTTTCTACTATGTGTGTGTGTGTGTGTGTGTTTGTGAATCTCTTTTTCCAATTTAGTTTCAACCTCTTTTTTCATTGCCTGCCTTTTGTTTGGTTTCTTTAATTTCTGTCGTGCTTCCGTTCTCTTTTGTTTGGCAAAATTATAAATCCAAACACCATGAACCTTTGGTTGCTCTTATCTTGCATTCCAATTTGGAAGGTTTAAGATTCTAAGCAGTTACTACTGCAAATTTGTATATGGGATATAAATTAATGTTCTTGCAGGCTACTAGAAGAAAATTTAGTCTTCTCTCCTGATGCACAGATTGTCTTTTTTAAGTTCTTGTAAGTTTGCTTTACTTTGATTTCTTTTGTGTTCTTTCAGGTGCGTTCTGTGTGCAAGCCTTTAAAAGCTTTCGGCATACACACAGTGAGTTTACATCCTGGTACTTCAGTGGAGCATCAAGTTCAAGGGTGTGTCTGAAATCTCCATACTTTTTGCATTTCATACTCTTGTGTTGTCAATTGATGCGTTGGTAAATGACATGTATACTTATTATTTGTTATATACTGATGCATTGGTAGATGAATAACTGTTGAGAACTGGTGTTGCTGATGTAATTTATTGGAAACTTTTACTTGATATATGATGTTACTGGTGTAAAACTGTAAACATCTGGATCTGGTCAACAGGCGCTTATGCTTTTATGCCATTTGATTGGTTTGATGTAGGCAGTTATATTTGCTAGGATTTTATCTATATCCTATAACCTGGAAGTAACTTCCTGGAAAATATAGAAAGCTGTTTTGTTGACTACAGATATCTGTGCTTCTTGTGGAAAGCTTAAATAATCTTGGTGGGACTAGGTAAGGAAAATTTTCTCATTTTTGAGAAGTTGAATAACCATATAACTCCCAAGGCTTCTATTACCAGGAAATTGTCGTTGTGTAGTCTTATGTCAACCTCTAACGACCACTAACATAAAACTATTTTTTAAATTAAGAGGTCTCTCAATCATCACACTTTTTTGAAATAATGTGAAAAATTAATCTAGTCCTAGGTGCTTGGATTCTGGATTGAGTGCCATGTATTGCAATTCTAGCTTTATAAATTTGTTGATCTTTGGTTTCTCATGATAATTATCCTTCTTCTGCAGCCTAAAGAGTTGTGAACCTGAATTTCTTATAGCAACGCCTGAACGCCTGTGGGAGCTTGTTTTGCTAAAGGCAGTTGATATATCTGGGGTTTCTTTGCTGGTAAATTTTTTTAATTCTCAGTTAATTTATTGAGGCATATGTTGTGCTGCTGATTGCTGCTTTCATCAGTTATTGTTCTGTTTTATTATTGGCATTTGTAACCCTCAAAAGCTTACTTTTCGAAGCAGAATTTCCTAAAAGGCAATTTGCTTGAGAAGATAGGGGTAGGAAGGTAGGGAGGGGAAATTGGTAAAAATGAAAGACTAAAAAGGAAGGACAGTAATGTGAGAGTTGTGCATGTAGTTTTCAGACTAATATTCTTTGCGTGTGTCCATTTGCCCACACCACAAAGAAGGATACATATCCAGATATTTTTCTTAGCGGGACAAGGTGTGGGTGTGAGCTTTTGTTCTTTTCACCTTATTCAAGGCGTTCTTATTTGATTTATTCAAGTTTTGGTTTGTTCTTAATCTTTCTAGTCCGGATTTCTCTGATTATCTATGTTGATTTAACTAGTTATCTTTAAATTTTGTATGGTCTGTATATGCTTTATTCAAGAATAAGTAATACTACCTCTGCTCTTTTTTGGGTGACACATTTTGGTTTTTACCACTATTCAAAAACTCTACTTTGACTAGCTTTTCGATTTATAGACGATAAAAATAGTCATGGGGGATTTTGTTGGATTCATCTCAGTATGTAATTCCAAAATATCAACGCCTTATAATCTTTACTCATTGATACATAAAGATATTAACGATAGAATTTTGCATTGGCAAACGTGATAAAAGAAACTTCTCAACTAAAGACGAATGGAGGAAGTAAGTAATAAGAATAGGGAAGTCATGGCAGCCTTCTCCTTATCCCGCTAATCAGAAGGATGATATATGAGTTGTTCTTTTTGTTGTGCTTTCTGATGGACAGAGAGGCATAGGTTGAAGAAAGTTTAAGGTGTTTAATGTGAAATATCCTGTTATCTTGTTGGGATCAAAATGTTCCTTCAAGTCCAAGTGCAAATCTTTTTATTCATATTATTTTTAATTGTTAGGTTCTTTTTTTTTTTTTTTTTTTTTTTTTTTTTTTTTTTTTTTTTTTTTTGGCATTCATGATTCTAGATATTGCTAGAAATGATTTGGCCAGTTTGAGGAGTTATTTGAATTAAATTGAACAAGACTAGAATCTGAATTCTCAAACTGGGAATTATCTGATTGAGCATTATTAAGGCTGACCAAAATAATGACGAGCTCTGAATAAATCATCTTACTGCATTATCTAATCTTGCTTTATTCCTCCCTTCTGAAAGTTCTGATTATTGGAAAGTTAAAAGTATTATTTGTTGCCAAAGTGTGAGGTAGTTCGATAAGTTAATAAGCAGAAGGTATCCTTGTATGATTTAAAGAATAGGTAGTAGCAAAGATTATATAAGAACCAAGATTCTCACTAATTCTAGCTGTAATTGTCATCTCATAGGCAGGTCAACTAGATATCTACTAATCTTAATACAGGAGAATGTTTTATTATTACAAAAGAACATGGTAATAATAGTTTTGATCTAAAAAGCTCTCTCTCGCAGAGTTTTAAGGGAAGAAGGGCCCTCAGCTAGCCAGTCCACAAAATGACAGTGTCCCAGCCATTCTTTTCTGCTGTTTAGATTCTATACAACAAAAGCTTCTGTATGCAAGGAATAAATCGCCATGATCTTACTTTCACCCTCTGATAGTTTATTTCCATATATGATTCTGATTCAGTCCACTTTACGAGTGATGCACTAAAAATAAAGGCTCTAGAGTTTGGGAATGAAGACAATGCTTTGTGGAAGATCATTTAGCTCATTGTGGTGTTGAGAACTTAGGATGGTGTAAGAGGCCTAAGAGTTCTTGTGGTGCAGGAAAGTAGAAATCCATTTCAGGGGGATTATATAATATTTCCTTAGTTGGTTTTAAACCTGTAAGTATTTCAACAATTTTGTTTTGGCTTGGCATTTGGTGTGGAATTAAACCACTAAAAGATCAATTTCTAGATTGTTAAGATTTAAGGAGGTCAATGTTTCTAAGTTGTTGGTATGGAATTTTAAGTAGAAACATTAGATTGCTACCTTTTGAGATTTACTAATTATTGGGAAAAAGATTTAGTCTCAAGGCTTTTAAAATGACTTTGTGTTTAATAGTTCAGGGAAGGAGGATGAGATGGTTTGGTGTCTTAGTAAGAGTGACTAATCGTTTTTGCTTAAAGAAAAATAATCTGTTATTCATCTTCTCCTCTTTTGCCTTAGGGCTCATCCTCTTTGGCACTCATCTTTAACCTTGTTTGGATTAAGTTGGATCCAACTCGACGTACATGTTGCCCAGAACATAAGTATGAAACAAGATTGACTTGACGAAGGAAAGTAAGTATGAAACAAACTTGGCTTGACGAAGTGTAGATAATGAATTTGTTGGTGCACTTGGAAAGATGGAAATAAATGCCTTTGGAGGATTTAGTTTCTACTTGTCAAGGTTTTAAGTTTTTGTATAGCAGTGAAGAATGTGTCTATCTCTTGTGAGTTCTTTCTTACAGTGGTTTATGGGATGAATGATGGAATGGAGAGAGAGGAGCTATGGTGTAGTTTTAAGAAGATTGGAAAGAACACGAGGGATCCTTGGATCATGTCAAGTGATTTTAATTCTCCTTTGAATTATGCTAATAGGTTGGGAAGGCCTATTTCTCATACTGAGATTGATAGCTTTAGGGATTGTGCGAAGTTTTGTGAAGTTCAAGACATGAAGTGTATTGGAAGCAAGTTTACTTGGAATAACAAATAAGGAGATAACAGAGTTTACTCTAAAATAGATAGAACTTTGGTGAATGATACTTGGATTACTGCTTACCCAGATTTTCTTGTGCACTATCTTGCTGAGCTATATTTTGATCACTGTCTCAGTTATTCATCTGAAAAAGTTGGTGTAAGAGTTAAAACTTCTTTTAAGTTTCTTGATATGTGGGTTTCTCATCCTAATTATCAAGATACTGTGAAGAAAGCTTGGGAAATAGAGTTTTATGGTGTCTAGATGTATCAGGTTGTGAAAAGATTAAAGTCTGATTTGAAACAGCTTCATAGATGGGATTTCGCTGATATAGAAGGGAAGTTTAATGATGTTAGAATGAGTTTGATGAAGATTCAAAAGGATATCTAGAAAAATCAAAATGGCAGTAGCTTGAGATTCTGGCTGTATATGCTCAGACTAGAAGTCAGTATTATTCTTGGTTGTCTCAAAAAGCCAAGATATATTGGCTTCAAGTAGGGGATGGTAACACCAAATTTTTTCATAGGAGTATAAAGATGAGAAGATACAGGAAGAGAGTGATAGCTGTGAAGGATATTAGAGGGGTATGGTGTGATACTCCAAAGACTGTAGCTAATGCTTTCATAGAGTATTATAAAGGGTTGCTTGGTGATGATCCTGGGGAGAGAATCAAGCTCTGTAATCAAGTAGTTCAAGATGGTTATGTGTTATGTGATGAGCAGGCTTAGATGTTGATTAGACCTTTTGCCAGAGAAGATGTTAAAAAGGCTATTTTTTCCATCCCTGGGTCCAAGGCTCGATGGCTTTAACAGCACCTTCTTTAAGGCTTCATGGAACATTATTGGTGAGCAAGTATCTGCTGTCCTCCAGAAACTGGTCAGATGCTAATCCTTACTTTGATTCCTAAGGTGGAGTAACATGAATCAGTTACTGAGTTGCAATGTGTTGCAATGTGTTGTACAAGTGTATCACGAAAATGATATGTAGCAGGTTAAAGCTGGTTCTCCCTGATATAGTTGCTTAGAATCAAACAGGCTTTATTGAAGAGAGGCAAATAATACAGAACATAAGTATTATTCAAGACATTGTGGCTAGGTATGGCAGGAAACATTCACCTAGTGAATGATTACTGAAGATAGATATTAGGAAAGCATATGACTCAGTTAAATGGGATTTTGTGGAGGAGATGTTGATAGCTCTTCCCTAGGAAGTTCATTGATTTAGTCATGATATGTGTGAGAACTACCTCATTCTCTTTAGCTATTAATGGCAAGGCTGAAGGTTTTTTTCAAGGGGAAGAGAGGATTAAGGCAAGGTGACCCAATGTCACTACTTTCCTTTGTAATCTGCATGGTGCATGGAGTATCTGTCTAGACTCTAGACTCCTGAGAAAGGTGGCTGAAGATTCTACGTTCAGATTTCATTCAAGGTGCCAAAGACTGAAATTGAATTATCTAATATTTGCAGATGATTTAATCATGTTTAGCAAATGTGATTTTAATAATCTAATATTTGCAGCTACCTCTGGATTAGTGGCTAATGAAGGCAAGTCTAACATGTATTGCTGTAATATTGGGAAGGAGGAGAAGGAAAGATTGTTCCAGAATTCTGGTTTTTGTGAGGGAAAACTTCCTTTCAGATATCTTAGAGTGAATGTTAGTTCCAAGAAACTCTCTAGAGATGAGTGCCAGAGTTCCTAGAATTAGAAGCTGGGGCTGCAGATCCTTGTCTTATGCTTGGAGGACCCAACTTGTGAATTCAGTGCTCATGTCTCTTCACATTTATTGGGCTAACATCTTCATCATTCCTAAGGTGGTGTTAGATGGTGTTTCTGCTATTTGCAGGAATCATCTTTGGGAAGGGATATTGTGTGCAGATGTAATAAGCAAGGTGGGTTGGGTGTGTCATACCTGGAATATTGCTGCTATTGGGAAGCAAATGTGGAACATTGCACAGAAAAAAATAGTTTATGGCTAAGATGGGTCAATGAGATGTATTTGAAGGGCAGGACTTGGAAGAGGTTCCAGTGTGCTCAAAATACCAACTGGAACGGGAAGCAGCTAGCAGGTTATTCTGGCAATGCTTGGAGCGGTAATCCTAAAGGGTACACCATTGCAAGTGGGTATAATTGGTTGAACACTCGACATGATAAGGTTGAGTGGAATGATTGGGTGTGGAACAAGTTGAACATTCCTAAGCATAAATTTGTATGCTGGATGATTATGTGGAGGAGGATTCAAGTTAAGGCTCACCTGACTAAAATAGGGGTGCTCACTGACTCCTCTTGCCCTCTCTGTGAAAATGGTGAGGAAACTATAGACCATCTGTTTTTTTTACTGTGATTACAGCAGGAAATGTTCTGATATTTTGCAAGAAAAGCTGAGAATAAAGATTGAGTCTCAGAGTATTGAAGACTGCAATAGTAAGTTGAGACTCATCAAGGGAAGATTTCAGAGACAGGTAGTGTATAGTTGTTTTGCTGGGCTGCTATATGTGATCTGGAAACAGAGAAACAAAGCCATATGGGACAAATGTCTTATGCAACCAGAGAAGGTGATCCAGGATATGTGGTACGAGCTGTTTCATAGAATCTCTTTTGCCATGCCGATCAAGACCAGCAGAAGGAAACAGGAATGGTTTAAAGACTTGTTCAGTGTCTGAAGATAGCTTTTTGCTTGGTGTTGTTTGTTTTGTGGTCTTAGGGCTTGCCTAGCCCTTTGGTGTGAATATTTCTTGGTGACCTTTTTTCAAAAAAAAAAAAATTTAATGCCCGAACATGAATTGACTTAATATTGTAGATGAACAGCTCTATGATAGCTTTAAGGCATGAACCTTTTTGTTCTGAACCCACCCTCATACATGAATGACACCGCTGGTGAATTTTTAATGGCGAATTTCCTGTTGATCTCTTTGATTGTTTTAAAACGTTAATCTAGGGGTACTTTTGGTATTTTTATCATTAAAAATGGGGTGGTCATTTTAGCTGTGTGACATGTTAAATTGCCCACATTTCGGCTGACTCTGCGGTACACGTTAGTAGACGGAGTGAACCCATTTCCTTCCGTTAACTCACTTTACCTTCTTCATCCTCCCTCTTCAAAGCTTCCTACCTTCATTCATCGATGGCAGCTGCATAGAATGACCACCTCCACCTTTCTCTCTCCACCAGATCTCCACCCACCGTTCACCAACACCATGTTCTTGGTCACCCCTATCCTTTGGGGTTAATCAAGCCCTTAATTTCACCTTTGATTCCTAGGGTTTGTGGTGGTGTTGGTGGACGATTTAATGGAGGAAGATAAGAGGTGTCGGTGGACATGATGAAGAGGGTAATGTTGGTGGTAGCTTCAATGGAGGAAATAAGCAGAGGCGTTTTCAAATCGCTTGCCTATGTGTGGCTGTGGGCAGCTGACTCGACATGCTCTATTTACAAATGCTGAGGTGGCTTAAAAGATTGACAAAGTAAAACAATAAAAAAGATTAACTGGACAGCGCCCCCTTTTAATGCAATTACTATTTCTTTCCGAAAAGAGAGCCTATTTAGCCTTATATCATGTGACCTCGTCAGATTAAATTTACTTCTAAATGTCGGTCTAGGGATAACCCGAAGAAGTTGACCAAAGGAATTTCTACTTTAAAATTTACATGCTGCTATTTTGCATCATGTCCTATTTAGCATAGAAGCAGCATTTTAAATTCTGTTTTCAACATTTTTCTTGCTAATGTAGAAAATAGGTTAGAATTCCATGTTATTTATCTTTTTAAATTACTACATTGTGTAGACCTTTTTTTTGTTTTAAGGATCAGTAATCTCTGGGGAAAGTCATTTTGCTATGCGTTCCAGTTTCTCCAAGTTGTTGCCATGCGTTTCTATGCCTTATTGACTTTTCCCCTTCTATTGAACAGGTTGTAGATGGAATGTACTGTGTTTCTCATTGCCTTAATGAGGTAAAATGCATAAAAAAGTCGATAATTGGAAAGCACTGCATAATGGCTTTCCAGGGTCACTCTGATGGTTCCTCTTCTAAAGCTGTACAGAGTATTCTTAGGAAACCCTATCATTCTTTATCTCTAGATGGACGAAGAAAGAGTCAAGGTATCTGAACTGATTGTCGAATTTTTGTAGTCTGAGAAACAAAACTCTCAGGTCGTGGATTTAAGATTACTTAATGCATCTTGGATTGGATATTGCAAAAACTAATACACGGTACCATCCTAGAAAACAAGGAACACATTTGTGCAACATAGCCATCAAGTTGTGCTTGGTTGTAGTGGCAAAGCTTGTGGTTTTATACTGTCCTAATCTAAAAGTTTAGACTCGAGGACAACTGATGTATTTTTCAATTAGACTGCTTTAAAACAGGTTCAATGAAAATTCCATTGAATTTCTATTTGTTATATGTATTCTGTTCATTTTTGGAAGTCATGGCGTTGAGCCAAAAGTTTTGTAGTTCCCGCAGGCTTTAAGTCAGTTTTGTTTTTTGGTAGATATTGGAGTTGATCTATCCCTGTCATTGATCTGAGAAATTGGGAATGTTGAAAGATCATTAGATCAGTTAACAGTAGTATAAGATCCTCATTCATCCAAAAATAACAGTTTCATAATGTTTGATGTTGATAACTTTGCAATTTGCTCACTTTACTGAAATGTATAGTGTAGAATTCCATCTCTTTCGTAGTTATTCAAATTACACTATCAACATGATTTGTGCAGACTTAACTCGCACCTATTCTATTGTTCTTATATAACCTCTTCCTTATTTACTTATTTGTGTTCTAATTAGCTAGCTTCTTGTCCTGCCTCCAATTACATAGATCATGAAAAAGGGTATTTTTTGAAAACAAAAGAAGCTGAGATTAGATGTCGAAAATTTTAATTTGACTAAGATATTAAATACGACTAGGTGTTTTTTATTTTTTTTTTTAATTTTTTATTTTTTTTTTATTTTTTTTTTTATTTTTTAGGAGAAAAATATGACTAGTTAAGTAACGTGTAAGGTGGCAACTCCGGGAAATCTTGGCCTTGTGATTATAAAAAGGGTTATAAGGCAAAGCTCAGTTAGTAATTTGTGAACTTGAAATCATAATCCTTGAATTTTAATATTTCTATTATATAAGTAAAGGGAGTAGGGTGAGGGAAAAATTGGTGTCTAACTTTTAAACTACCCAAATTGCCCCTAAAAACTGGGGAAAAAAAAATCCCGCAATTTTGCGTATTACTTTTTATGCCATAACCAATATTTTTTTTTCCTTTTTTTTTTAACTTTTATGCAATAACCAATCAACCATGACAAAATAATACCAATAAGCTGTAAAAAATTGTTATATCAAAGCTTTTATGTGACGATATAATGTACATTGAATTTATATAGATCTTTTATTATTTTTTAAGTTTAATTTCAACTAATCATATGTGTGATAAGAGTTATTTAAACGTCTCGGACATTTGTTCTAAATATTAAATATGAATTTATTTATGGTGATAACATGCATTTTAAACATCAAGTATGCATCGAGTGCATAAAGTACTACTTTTAAATATGCTACTCCCTCCGTTTCACTTTGTTAGTCCCATATATTATTTTGGACGTTTTAAAATGATAATACCATATGGAATATATTCCTAACACAATTATAGGGTGAAAAATTTTCATAATCTATGAATAATTAATCTAGTTAGGTGTTTAAAGAGTCAAATAATTCTGATTGGTTAATATATGTGCTAGTGGATTGCTGACATGGCAAATTCTTTCAATCAAGATTTATTATGGGCGATTTAATTACACCAAATTTTCATAAATAAAACAGAAAAAGACAAAATATTAATTACAAAGTTACAATCAAATTCCAAATTATTAGGATTCCTCCTTTTCTTATTTTAAGTGATTGATTCCAAAGGGGACTAACAAAGTGAAACGGAGGGAGTATCAAACATGTTAAAATAAAAAATAAATAAATAAAATAATAAAAAAAAAACCCTAGTTTCGACCTCAGCCTAGCTCAGATTATTGCTTATAAAGCACTATTCCCACTTCGTTATGTTTTTAAAATTCACAATAATTAATAAATATCAGATAGCGTACTTAAAAAGTTGAGTGGTGTAACAAAATACAATAGTAGATAAAGAATGCAATAATATGCGTAGTTGTAATTAACAGATAAATCAGGTAAGACAAAGTGAAAACTAAAGAACTAGATGTATAGGAGTAAGAGAGATACGTTAATAAAGAGGTTTGTAAAAAATGGAATAAAATGAAAGTGTTAAGACAATTTTAAAATGGATGAAAATGAAATATGTAACACAATGAAAATTATTATAAAGCGTATGTTCTTTACAATAGACTCTAAGCCTCTTCTTAGGTTTTTCGAACACGAAAGTAGATTTTTTTTCCTCAGATCGGGGCGGAGTGGGTCAGATCTGGATTGGATTGCCATCTCTAGTTATATTTTTTTTGAAACAAATCAATTCATTAATCAAAAGTCATACGACATCTACAAATAAAATCTAAATCAACAAATACATAAATTTGAATCAAATAATGGTTTTTTTTATTAAAACTACGATCGTTGAATAAATCTTGCACTGTGTTACATCTCTCGCACACATCGCTGGAATATACATCCTTTTCGGAGAGACGGTCTAACGATTTGTTGATTTTTATCTGATTCACTTGAACGCCTTTGAAGATTTGACAACCGTTGCGATCCTGGACAACTCTTTACCAACGAACTGATAATAAGGCAAAAGATGATTACCTTTATAATAAACCCTACCATAAATAAAAAATTAAAAAAAAAAAATAAATAAATAAAAACCTAACGATTTCATCATAGGAAGACACCCCACCATAGGGAGGCGGACGAACATCTACTCGTGTAGATTTATTAAAATCTAAATTGCAAAACTAAAGAAAAATAAGGGGAAAGGGTTGGAAATAGTCTAATTCCCGAAGACATTAGACTATTTTCAACCTAAACGTCCAAAAAAATTAGAAAACCCTAGAAGATGAGAGGAAGAGAGGAGGAGCGTTATATGTTCAGCCCCAGGCTTGCCATCCCACTTGAAATACAATAAACAAACAAAAATGAAAAGAATCTTGGGTAAGAGTATCCAACACTAAAGTCATTCACAAACAAATTAAAGCAATATCAAAATGTGAGATTGACAATGGAAATCAATTGAGAGGAATGGTTTATCCCATTGTACTCTATCTTCTCTTATGAGCTACATAGGTTGGCTTAATCTCCTAACAATGTTCAATTCTCGTGGATAAGGCATTCAAAATGAACATGATGAATACAAACAAGCAAACAAAGTTCCTTAGGCTAGGTAGTCGGTAGTCCCTACTTTCATGGTCTGTCAAACAAATGATCGATGATTAGAGGTTTTTACACCTATTTTAGCCCCATAGTTCGTTGTACTTTTACTCCATTTTATTCTCATTTTGCATGTTTTAGATTTGGTTTTCTTAGTTTATTAAGCTTGTGTATATGTGCTTCTTTTGAGTATTAGTTTATTTTGTTATGTTTCTAGCACTTGAATAATTTTACTACTTTTTTGATGTTGTAGAGTTGCAGGCACATCCTTAGAGATCATATGAACATTCACATGAACTAAAAGAGTACTTTGGAGCAAAGTAAAGTGGTTCAGATAGCCATATTTCACTATAAAATTTAAATAAAAAGATGATTTGAGTTGAAGGTAATAGCTTTTCCGAAGAGCTTTTCAACAATTGGTCATATGTTTAATTTGATGAACTATATAAGAACTTGGGACTTTTTAAAGTGAAGTTTTCTTGAATTGTCAACTTGATATGCTTTACCTAAAATGACTCATTTTGTAACATAATAAGGTTTTCCAAAACCTGCTTAAAAACTTCATAATATACCAAACTACCAAAATGCCCACCAATATGACCCTTTTTGGGGATTTTGTTGTTTTGAAACGCATCTTGTGATATGTTCTATGTTTTGTTTAAAGTATTATTATTATTAAGTTACACATATATCTTTATACTCTTACCAAGTCCTACTAGGAGACTACTACTTATACTGATGCAGATTAGGACGGATATCTAGTCACTCGTTGTTCGAATACAAGATAACTAGGGGTAATCTTTTCTCATGGTCATCCTAATATCAAGCAACACATTTCAAGATTAATATTAGAGTTTGCTTTTGTTAGGTTATGGATCCTTTCCTATGAAGAGAAAGCCCATTTGATGTTGTGATTATTTTTGGGGCAACTTGTCAAGTTTTGGCCCAAGTATTTGTAGCTTCTCAAGGAAGCTTCTTTAGTTGACTTTTGATGTGCCTTGCTGTGCAACAAGGCCGGATATTATTGTGCGATCGCTCAGGGGCCCCCCCTTTTGTGGGGCCCACATTTATTTTATAATCTTATTTTAAATAAATAATTTGTTCTTTGATAAATTTATGTACTGTAATACTAATCACAAGTGTAACTGTTTCTTCTTAATCTAAAGATGCATCAAAAACATTTTAGTTAGCTAATTGTCTTTTTCTTTTTTCTTTTTTTTTTTTTGGGGGGGGGGGGGTTTCAAATGGAGGAAATGAGCAGGGCAGTCGAAAGAAATGAAGAAACACTAAAGTAGGGGTTTGATTTATTTGCTTAATTTTCCTTTTATTTTGTATTTTTAGATTTTCATTTCATCTTTTAATTAATGTGAGCTTTCATTTTCCTTTTTTCCTTTTCTACTTTCTCTTAAAGTTTATTTGTTTATTTTAATTACCTAATTTCTGTTACATTACTTAATCTCTCTTCTCTATTAATTTTTTTATTAGATTTAAATTCTTGACTTTTTTTAAATAAAAAAGGGGTATTGGATAATATAGCTTGTTAGGGTTTGATTGATGAAGTTACTTAAAAAAAAATGTCCGAAGAACGTGATTTTTTAAGTAATTTATGTAATAATAATTTTGAAGAACTTTTTAATAAAAAACTTTATAAAATACATCCCCTAATTTAGGGGTTTTTTTCAAGATTTCGCTCCAGACCCCCAAAACAATGTCCAAGATGGCACCGCCGTGAAAAATGAGTGGTAACAAAAGAGTCTAGCATTTTATTTACTTGCTGCCAGCAAGGTGAGTAAACAAAGAGGGAAGTAGTTGAAAAGAGGAGAGAAATACAATGAGTTTCAAAGTACCATCCATTTCACGTTTTACTTAGAGTAGCTCCAGAACTCATCTGTGGTCCGATTTAGCTAAAATTTTGATAGCTTGTCTGGGACATTAAGGACTTCCTATTCAATGGTCGGATTGTCATTTGCTGCTACAATTTGTAAGTTATGGCCGCTGGAAAGAACTTTGTTATATGGTGATACTCATCCATTTTTCTTTTGTTACTTTGTTCTTATGAATTTTGTTGTTTGGTAAATTGAGTACCCATCTTTTAGACTAGGAAT